CCTGTTGCCCTCTTGGGAGGCTCCTGTTAGTTCCTCTCGCAGGGCTGTCTACCTGGGTAGCCAAGTAGGCCAACAAAAGGCACGCACAATGCTGGACCACCTAGCTTCGCGCACCGCGCACCGCGATGCACGACGCGCAGTTATGTCTTCGCGCCCTCACGCCGCCGCCCTCGAGAACACCACCTCTCCAGCACAAGCCTTCGACGCGCGAAGCGTGACTGCCCTCGCCCGCCCCTGGGGGTGACCCAGCACACTGCAGCGCTCGCATCAAGCAACAGGACAACTTCCCCGTCGGCCCGCATCACCCTGACGTTAGGTCGGGCATGTCCTCCTACGGGCGGATCTTGACTGGAAAATCAAGAACAATCAAATTAGCATGGCGAAGGGCCCAAACAGCTGCAGTTGTTGGTATTTCGTTGTAGGCACCGCTTTCGGTAGAGCTCCCTATGGGGCCACGAAACGTGTGAGGGGTGTGCCGAAATGGGGCGGCGGTGCCATGCAAACTGTTCCACTGGGACCTTAGGTGGAGCTCCCTATGGGGCCACGAAACGTGTTAAGGGGTGTGCCGACATGGGGCGGATGTGCCATGGCGGTGCCGTGCAAACTTTCCCACTGGGGCCTTAGGTGGAGCTCCCTATGGGGCCACGAAGCGTGTGAGGGGTGTGCCGACATGGGGCGGCGGTGCCATGCGAACTTGCCCACAAGGGCTTAGGTGGAGCTCCCTATGGGGCCACGAAACGTGTGAGGGGTGTGCCGAAATGGGGCGGCGGTGCCATGCGAACTTGCCCACTGGGTCCTTAGGTGGAACTCCCTATGGGACCACGAACCGTGTGAGGGGTGTGCCGACATGGGGCGGCGGGTGCCATGCGAACTTGCCCACGGGGGCCTTAGGTGGATCTCCCTATGGGACCACGAAGCGTGTGAGGGGTGTGCCGACATGGGGCGGCGGGTGCCATGCGAACTTTCCCACGGGGGCCTTCGGTGGAGCGCCCGATGGGACCACGAAGCGTGTGAGGGGTGTGCCGAAATGGGATGGACATGCGAAGAGCGAAAACAGGGAGGGGAGGAGCAGGAGGAGGAGGAGGAGGAGGAGGAGGAGGAGGAGGAGGAGGAGGAGGGAGGAAGGAGGAACGCGGGGGCGCTGTCTCTTCAAAAAGAGAGCCCAACACCACAGGACGGTTGGGAAAAATATTCAATAATTGTCACAACAAAAGGTAAGCGAAACATCGTCTCAAGACGACTTTCTCCAAATAGGCTTCCCCTGTAGGAGTCCCAGCTCATCATAAGTAATTGGTCTGCAGGACCCCCCCCCCTTTTCCAATGGCACCCCCCCTTGATTTCCAATGGCAGCCCCCCCCTGCCCCCTTTTGCCAATGGCACCCTCCCTTATTTCCAATGGCACCCCCCAGCTGTTTCCAACGGCGAGTCCTACGGATTCCTATGGATTCGGATGAGCCGTCTGGATTCCTATGCCTGTACCAATGCCTATATGCCACTGCCTGTGCCAATGCCGTGCATGTGGAGCCCTTTGGATCCTGAGCTGGGATACCTGTGGGTTCCGAGCTATTTGGAGTCAACGCTGGCTGGGGGCCTCCTGGCGTGTGCGCGAGCGCCCGCCCCCAATTGGAGGAGAAGGGGGGGGAGGGGGAGGAGGAGGAGGAGGAGGAGGAGGAGGAGGAGGAGGAGGAGGAGGAGCAGTTAGCCTAGCGGGGGGGGGCCAGCAGCAGCAGCAGCAGCAAGCAGCAGCATACGGAGTGGGAGGATGGGAGAGAAGGAGAAGGGTGGGAGGGGAGGGGAGGAGGAGGAGGAGGAGGAGGAGGAGAGGAGGGTGGGGAGGAGGAGGAGGAGGAGAAGGGTGGCGTTTGGGAGGAGGGAGGGAGAGGGGAGGAGGAGGAGGAGGTGAGGAGGAGGAGGAGGAAGAGGAGCAGGCAGCAGCATACGGAAGGTGGAGGATGGGGGGGTGGAAGGAGAAGGGTGAGGAGGGGAGGAGGAGGAGGAGGAAGGAGGAGGAGGCGAAGGAGGAGGAGTGAGAAGGAGGAGGAGCGGGAGGATGGGAGGAGGAGGGGAGGGAGAAGGGGAGTGAGAAGGAGCAGGACGAGGAGGTGACCCTGGCGCGTGCGCGAGCGCCCGCCCCCAACTGAAAACGGGCGCGGCGGCGGGCGCCGCCGCCCGCCGGCCTCGCCCTGCTCCTCGACCCCCTGGCGCCCTTCGGGGGCGATAGCTCGGCCCCTTTCTTCCCTCCACTTTCCCCTCCCCCCCCCCCCCCCCCCCCTGGCGCGTGCGCGAGCGCCCGCCCCCAACTGAAAACGGGCGCGGCGGCGGGCGCCGCCGCCCGCCGGCCTCGCCCTGCTCCTCGACCCCCTGGCGCCCTTCGGGGGCGATAGCTCCTCCTCCGCGGCCCGCCCGGGAGGAGGAGGAGGAGGAGGCGGAGGAGGAGGAGGAGGGGGAGAAAGAGGAGGAGGAGGAGGGGGAGGGGGAGGGGGAGGAGGAGGAGGAGGAGGAGGAGGCGGAGGAGGAGGAGGAGGAGGAGGAGAAGAAGGAGGAGGAGGCGGAGGAAGAGGAAGAGGAGGAGGAGGAGGAGGCGGAGGAGGAGGAGGAGGGGCTCTCAACCGCGTATGGAAGCACTGGTTGCCGCTGGAGTTGGATCGACTCTCTCATCAAAGTTGGCTCCGTCGCATCGGACACGCCCGGCCTGAACAGTCCTCTGAAGCTCCGCAGTTGAAATATCTTTGCTACACATGTGGCGTCACCGTGGCCACTGTCGCAGCATGGCGTCGCCACCAGCTTGAGCACAACCCCATCGACTTGGCACAGAGAGCGGCGTGGGGCAACCAATGCGGAGCATGCGGCAGAATCTTTGGCAATCGATCATTGCTTATCAAACACTTGCGCAAGGTTGGGAACAGATGTTTGCTATGGCTGGAACAACATGCACCTCTGCTTGACGAGGCTGAGGCTCACCTCCGACGTCACGACGATCTACTTGTCGAGCGGGACCAGGCACATCGAGGTTATCACAGACTCAAAGTATTCCAGAAGTCGAGATATGCATCTAACGATGGAGTTGGAGGCATCCAGCATTGGGGAGGGCGAGGCGATCCGTACCACCCTCTACCACCGCCCACGGTTCAGGTGACCCTTGGCGGCGACCTTCCACGGATGACAAGAACATCCTTTGGGGCAGCCGAGGAGGTGCACATGCTGTATTACAATGAAGATATGAGCGATTGTTGTAACTGGGTACGGCTGCTATCCCGTCATCACGCAGCGGTCCATCTTCAGCACGAGACTGTTTCTGACGATGATGGTGAGCGCGTGCAATGGTCGCTCGGAGCTTCGGAGGTCGACGAGTTGATGAAGGGGATGTCTGAGGGTAAAGTGGCAGGTATTATTGCGGCCCCAAAGCTGACTACGTGGAGGCGTACGGCAGTACCTTCTAACCTCACAGAAGCTGAACGAGCGGTTCTTCGAGGCAGGCCACAACTTCTGGGTGCCAACCTAAGTCGAGCTGGGGACCGAGCCGTACTTCGCTCAAAGTCTGCACCGTGGGGCTACGCGACCAGGTGATTGCTGGTAACAGTGAGTTACGTTGTCTGCTGCAGCTTCTTTTTGGAGCTTACGCTTTGGGAGTCCCGATGGCTGTGGTTGCTCCTACGGCCCGCACTGCCGCTGCTCTTGCAGTCGTACCAGAACTACGCGACGCAGTTCAGCAGCGGCGAGTACTTCTGCGACGGGTCCCACAACCAGCAGTAGGCATGCCTGAAGGCTTGTCCGTCTTGTGTGTTCATTGCGTTTTCAACTTTGAGCGGGATCTGTCAGGGGCCCCAGCGAACCCCTCCAGGCCCCAAGGCGCGTGGTCTCTACAACTTTCGCTTGCTCTTGCTGAGGCCGTGTTGGCCACATCCCTGGCTTTAGGGCGGTGGCGCCCCTAGCCTCGCTTCGGGGACTCTGTGGTGGAGGATGAGGCTGTGGGACTCGGGGGAGCGGCGCGTCGCTCTTCGTGCAGCCCATGTCAGGCCCCCTGGACCCAGTATTCCTCCAGGCTCTTGGTCCCGAAGCCGTCTTCCTGCTAATGCTGCACTGGTCCGTCCTCCCTCTCTTGCTGGCGGCGGCGACAACGACTGCGACGACTGCGACGGTGATGATCCCTCGTCCTCTCTTGCTTTGTCTTGTCCGTTTTCTCTCGCCCGTCGTGGTGTGCTGGACTTGTAGAGTTGCGCCAGCTGCCCTGTCTCGGCAGCCCCCTGGCCGATGCCGTCATCGGACCAGGGCTGTGTCTAGTCGCTCTGTCCTAGTCCTGCCACCCATCGCTATTGCTTGTGCCTCCCGCTGGCCGTCGCCGTACTACTCCCATCGTCCTGTCTGTTCTCTTGCTGTGCTTCCTTGTTTGCATGCTCGCTGTCTTGCATTGTCTTGCTGCACCTTGTCCGTCTGTCTGTTTCTCGCTGTGGGTCAGGCTCGTCTGTCATTTCTCAGACTTTGTGGCCCCTGATCCGCAGCGCCTGCCTGATCCGAGCAGGGACACCGAGCTCGGCGTGTTCTCGCTCAGTCTCTCCTCTCGCTTCCATCCTGCCATTCGCCGTGGTTGAGTTGTGGGAGGCAGTGCAGAGGTCGTGGAGGAGGCGGTTTCTTGTGGTCCGCTTGCTCTCTCGCAGCCTTGTGCGCTTGGCATTGCTGGCGCTCCAGCAGTGCGAGCGCGTACGCGTCGGCCCGCCGACGCGCACTGACGCTACGAGCGTGTGCGCTCGGCAGCCTGCGCAAGAAAAAGGAGGAGGAGGAGGAGGCGGAGGCGGAGGAGGAGGAGGAGGAGGAGGAGAAGGAGGAGGAGGCGGAGGAAGAGGAAGAGGAGGAGGAGGAGGCGGAGGAGGAGGAGGAGGGGCTCTCGACGAGGCGCAGCTGCGGGACCGCGTCCCGAGGCGAGAAGGCCTCCGAGAGCCTCCCTCCTCCCCCGTGGCCGAGCAGCACCCCGAGACCCGCGGAGAGGCGGGAAGCCGCGCCGCTAGAACGTCGCTCCGCCGATGCTGAGGTTCAGGGCCGCCTGCGGGAGGCGGGGCCGACGTCTCCCGGGGGCCGTCGCCGTCGCCGTCGCCGTCGTCGTCGTCGCTGCCGTCGGCGTGGCCGATCCTGCCCTCGCTCCTCGCTCCTCGCTCCTCCCCCCCCTCCACCGCGGACCATCGTCGTCTTCCTGAGCAGCATCATGACCCTCAGCAGCAGCAGCAGCAGCAGGTCACTGGCAATTGACTGGTATGCAATGTGGATTCACCTCAAATAGGATCCCATTAGAAGTGGATCCGCCTCCAATAGAACTCCATGAGGGATAGAAGCACCTTGTGTATAATCTTCTTAGATGTGGATCCACTCCTATTTGAATCCGATTGGGGACGGAGCCACCTCTAATAGAATCTTATGAGGGGTGGATCCACTGCTCATTGGATTCGATTAGAGATAAATGCGGTCTATCTTTGAAGAATCGAATTTAGAGGCCAAGACGCCTGCAATATAATTCTTTTCAGGGGTAGCGATATTTGCACACAATAGAACTCAATAGGTAAGTCTCCAACGAAAAGAACGCGACTGAAAATTCGCACGAAGCCGCACAAAAGGGTTCGAGATTTAACCCACACAATAGAAATCAATGTGCAAATCGCCCACAACATAAATCCGAGTAAAAAGCCGCACGCAACGATTTTGTGTAATCCACACAATAAAAATCAATGTGTAAGTCGCCAACACAAGGATTTCTGTTGAAAGAGAGCCAGAAAAAGTGATGCACCCTCCGAAGACGAAGAAGAAAAAAAAGAAACAACGTCGCCCCCACCATTTACATAATTTTTTTCGGGAGCGGGGCCGGCGCGAGAAGAACAACACATTAGAGGGGGCGATGGTTTTCTGGTTGGTTGTTTCTTGTTCCGGAGATCCAGCACTTTTGCTGGCCTCCATTTGAAGAGAGTCCTTTTGTGGGCGATTTACATCATGATTTCTATTGTGTAGATTTCAACTAGAATCCTTTTTGCGCCGCTTTTCAATAGGAATTCATGTGCGAGCGAATTGCAAACAAAATGTTTATTGTGTGGCTTACAAATAGAATCCGTCTGTGCGGCTTTTCATTCAGGATTTCTCTTGAGGGCGGTTTACAAAGAGGTTTCCATTGTGTAGATTACAATTCAAAAACAAGAGACAAAAAAAAATCCCCCGATGTTTTAGTGTTGCCGCCCCGGCCCCGCAAAAAGGAGAGAAAATGGAGGTGGCGATGACTTTCTGCTTGCTGTTTTTTTCCCCGAGATCGAAAACCTGTCTGGCCTCCATTAAAAGAAATTCCTGCTGTGGGCGACTTACAAATGAATTTCGATTGTGTCGATTATAATTAGAATATGTTGGCGCCGCTTTTCATTCGGATTATATTTCGTAGTTAGGCAATACCAGGAAGATGAGAGGGAAACAGAACATGAAGAAATGGAAATACACAAACCGAATAGCCAAATAACTTCAAACATATCAACATACACCACGAAAATCGTCCAACCAAACACTGATTTCCCCTCCCCTTACGTAGGTAGGGGGGGGCGGATGAGGAGTCGGGGGGCGGAGAGGAGGTAGGGGGGAATGGGGGGGGGGGGGAAGACGGCGGCGATGAGGTCGAGAGGGACAAGGGAGAAGAGGGGGAGGAGGACGAGGTCGGGGAGGAGAGTGATAAGGAGGAGAAGAGGCAGTGCGGAGGATGGAGCGCGGAGGGATAACGAAGGACGGAGAAGAAAGGAGAGGGATGGGAAGGGAGAGAGCAGGAGGAGGAGGAGGAGGAGGACGAGGAGAGGAGGGAAGTGGAGCATGATGACGCTGAGATAAACATGCCAATAGCACCCTTGGAATTGGACGCACATTAAGGACATTGATCTCCGCTTCGGGGGACCCCGCCTCCTGCCCCCTGCCCAGACCTGCCTGCAGGACAGGTGGCAGAGACGAGCGTATCCTGCCTGCGAAAAGGCACAGGGCAACGAAGGGTCAGAGAAGAGAGGGCGCACACAACCTGCAAGACGAAGAACGAGTTCACCTTGGCGATCTCCGGCCTGCCGCAGCGCGGGCGGCGGCAGCGGGAGGCCGCTCGAGCGAGCGCCCGTCGTGCGCACTCCGCCGCAGGGAGCGCGCCCGTGCCACTTTGGGCATGGCGTGGGAGGCCGTGCCCTCCGACGGGAAGATTATGATCTCATGTGATCCGCAAGTAGACCATGATCCTATGTGATCATGACCCCATGCGATCCCAGAAGGTCACCTCCCCCCCTCCTCCTCCTCCTCCTCCTCCTCCTCCTCCTCCCTCCTCCTCCTCCTCCTCCTCCTCCCCTCCTCCTCCTCCTTCTCCTCCCCCTCCTCCTTATCCTCCTCCCGCCCTCTCTTCTTCCTCCTCCTCCTCCTCCTCCTCCCCCTCCTCCTCCTCCTCCTCCTCCTCCTCCTCCTCCTCCTCCTCCTCCTCCTCCTCCTCCTCCGGCCGCCTGCAGCCGCCTGCCGCCACCGCTGCTCTGCTGGCACCGCTCGCCGCCGGCTGCTGCTGCTCGATGCTGGCTGGCACTGCCCACTGCCCACTGCCTTCTCTGCCTGCTGCTGGCGTCGGCACCGCAGATGCAATGGTTGCTGCTGACGACCATCCTTAGCATCGCCATCGGCATCGTGCTTACCCCTACAAAAGCACACCGTACAACCACTCGTCGATCGCAAGCCTGTCGAGACTCCATCACTAATATAAGAGGACACCATTGCGAATCAATGAGGGGATCATCGAACATCAATCGAGGCACAATCGAAAATCCATCGGGGCATCTCTTGCAGTGTACTCCGACCGACGCCACCCAAAACTTTCGGGGAAACCATTGGCCACGCTCATGGCAAACTAAACAATATCATAGATTAACGTCGAGACCCTGCTGGGACGACAAGAGGCCCCTAGACACCCCCATCCAGCCGCCTGGAGGCGGTAGAAGCAACAGGGAGAGTCACATTCGTCCAAGGGTGGTCGAAGGTCAAACAACGTCGCGATTTACACGACGTGAAGCGTGATGCGTGGCTATCTTCGCGCGCTCACGTGGCCTTTCTGTTGAACGGCAGCTCTCATGTCCAGGCCGCGAAGCGCGAAGCACGATTGGCTTCGCGCACGTGCGGGAGACCTCGACGGGCTTCGGTCATTCGAATTTGCGCACGGCTTCTCTTTTCGAATGCGCCCGTACTTTCTTCGCAGCTGGGAACCTGGCGGACGTCATGCGCACGACCGCGGCCAGGTAGGCGCCCCGAGCTGGGGCCCTGGAACCCGAGGCTTAGGATAGGAAGTACCGGTCGGAGGTGGAGACGAAATATCAAAAATGGCGTGGGACAAACATAAGACGCGAACCAGCGCGCTTGGCAGCAAGGACGCGCACCTGGTGGCCAGAAGGCGTGGTGCTTGGAAGACGTCTCAGGTAGCAGGGCGCACATGTTCGCAGTTGCCTCATCTACAACACGTATACGATACTGCCATGTTCCAGGACGCCGCACAGATGCTTCTGCACCCTCTTACGCAGAGACCGCAAGCTGATAAGCATGATCTGACAGACGCACGCGCGTGTACATCCAGCAATGACTGCTCTGCTCGTTTGATCCCCGCTGTCTGCGCTGCGGTCGACGCTGCCTGAGCAGCAGGTGGAAGGATGGCAGCAGCACCAGGAGCACCCCAATTGCCGCGGCGAGGTGGTGAATGTGCGAAGTCGAGACCGCACCAACGATAGCCAGGAATATGGTGAGCACCTGACAAGGATTGGCAGGAGGGGCAACGCAAACGAATCAATACGAAGTCTGCGGGGGCTCACTCCTCTCAAACACCTTCCCAAGAGGCCGAATCCTCACACATCAGTGGAACACATCAGAGAAACACACATCAGAGAAACACACATCAGAGAAACCCTTCACGGGAGTTGTTTCACACATCAGAGAAACACATACGTGAGCATCGCCAGCAACTACGTTAGCAACAGCCGGAGCGCACCGCACTAGCTAAAATTCTTGCCCTCCGCACAAAACTAATCAATGGTCAGAACATGAATCAATGGTCAGAACATGGCGTCACACATGTTACTGGGACCCGAGTTGCACAGATCGTGCTGGCCCCCTCAGAGATACTCGCAAAGCGAGTCGTCAAACAAGTCTGAATAGTCCTCATTCTCCTCCTCCTCCTCCTCCTCCTCCTCCTCCTCCTCCTCCTCCTCCTCCGCCTCCTCCTCCTCCTCCTCCTCCTCCTCCCCTTCCCCCCCCCTCCCCCTCCTCCTCCTCCTCCTCCTCCTCCTCCTCCTCCTCCTCCTCCTCCTCCTCCTCCTGCTCGCCACCTCTGAAGATGCCCCTGTGACCCACGCGCGGGCACCCTCGCCGTGGCAGGGCCGTCGTCGTCGGCGTCGTCGTCGGCGTCGTCGTCGTCGTCGGCGTCATCGTCGGCGTCGTCGTCGGCGGCGTCGTCGTCGGCGTCGTCGTCGGCGTCGCCGTCGTCGGCGGTGTCGTCGTCGTCACTCGCCGCTGCTCGCGCGCAAGGGGCCCCCAGTGCCCCGGCAGAACCGCGGCGCGCCTCGCTCCATGAGGCCCTCGGGCTGGCACGAGGGCCCAGGGGGGCCTTCTAAGACGAGGACTGGACGAGGAGAAAAACGGCTTTGCATAGATCGGGGATCTCTGAGGTACGGAGTCTCTGGAGGACGTCTCGAGCGCCGCGGCCTTCTAAGAGCGTTCCGGGACGCCCTGGGAGCTTTCCGGAACGCTCTGGAACGGAGTTGTCCTCACCCCAGCCCCGTCCGACTCCTCCCGAGCCGCGTTTCTGTGCGGGGGCCCTGAGCCCGGAAGGGCCGCGGGGGCCCAGAGGCACGGAGAAAAGGCATCCAAGAGAGGGGGGGGGGGAGGAGGAGGAGAGGAGGAGGAGGAGGTAGGAGGAGGAGGAGGAGGAGAAGGAGGAGAAGAGGAGGAGGAGGAGGAGGAGGAGGAGGGCGGGGAGGCGGAGGAGGAGGAGGAGGGGGAGGAGGAGGAGGAGGAGAGGAGGAGGAGGAGGAGGAGGAGGAGGGAGAGGAGGGGGAGCGGAGGAGGAGGAGGAGGTGGAGGAGGAGGAAGAGGAGGACGAGGGGGAGGAAGAGGAGGAGGAGGAGGAGTAGGAGGAGGAGGAGCAGCAGGAAGAGGAGGAGGAGGAGGAGGAGGAGGAGGAGGAGGACGGGTCAAGAAACCCTTAGATCAGGAATCCAGGGTCTGTAAGCCAGTAGAACTCCAATCGTGGATCGGCCATGGATATCACCGCCGCCCTCATCAGATCAGGAATCCTCCAGGGCCTGTAGCCTCCTGGGCACATTCCTTATCCAGCGCCCCCATCGCATGTCATCGTGCCTAAGACCCGTCCTCTGGTCGCTCCTGTTGCGGTTTCTGGGGGCTCTGGTTCCCCCAAACAACGCAGTTCTTGGGTGGGCGCCTTTCTAGAGGAAGGAAAAACGGCATAAATATAAACTTTCGACGGTCCGCGAGGATTTCTTGGATCTGCGCTGGACCCCCCTCCCTGGCGCGCGAAGCGCGCCAGAGCTGGGACCGGATGCGCCGCCAGGGGGGCCTCAGCGAGGATCCAAGAAGTCCACGCGGAGCGCCATCGTTTCTGTTCATGGCCACTTTTCAGGGGGCCCAGCGCAGGTCCAAGAAACCCGCGCGGAGCGCCACAAGTTTCTGCTCTGGTTTTTGTATATCTGCAGGCCTTCCGCTGGCCTCCGCTGGCGATGTGAGGCCTGGCTTCACCTCCGCCGGCTCCCGCCGCCCTGCGCCGAGGAATGAAGGGCGCAAGCCTGTCACGCCCCCTCGGAGGCGCGGACCTGGTCTGGAGGACCGATCAGGGGCCGCCTCGACAGCGACGACGACGACGACGACGACGACGACGACGCCGACGCCGACGCCGACGCCGACGCCGACGCCGACGCCGACGCCGACGCCGACGACAACAACGACGACGACGACGCCGACGCCGACGCCGACGACAACAACGCCGACGCCGACGCCGACGACGACGCCGACGCCGACACCGACGCTGGCGAATGGGCTGATCGTCCGGAGATGCGCGGCAGCGGCAGCAGCAGCGGGCAGCAGCAGCAGGCAGGAGCAGCCGGCACAGAGGAAGAACAAGCTGCTTAGTACTACACTGGCGGAGCTCTGCGCGGACTTCTTACATACGCGCTGGCCCCCTCCCTGGCGCGCGGAGCGCGCCAGGGGCGGCGCCGCAGGCGCCGCCAGGAGCGCCAACGCCGATGGAAGAAACACCCGCGGACCTCCACACGTTCATGTTCATGCAAATGTTTCTCCTTCCCAGAGATCCGACGTTGTGATTACCTAGCAGCGAAGACTGATAGGATTCTAGTGGTGTCAAAAGAGAACAGCAAATGACTCCACAGGGGGGTCGGGGCGGGACCCGGGGCGGCTGCCGCCGAAGCCCAAATCGCCTAGGACATCCTCGCAAAATCGCTCTTGGCGCTGCTAGAACTCCATTCCCGGCGTACATTTTGGATGCCCGGAGCCAACTGTAGGCCACTTCGTGGTCTTCGACTTCCCAGAACTCCATTCCCGGGCCAAATTTTGGATGCCCGGAGCCAACTGTAAGCCACTTCGTGCTCTTCGAGTTCCCAGAACACAATTCCCGGGCCACATTTTGAATGCCCGGAGCCAACTGTAGGCCACTTCGTGCTCTTCCACTTCCCAGAACTCCATTCCTGGGCATGATTTTCAATGCCTGGAGCCAACTGTAGGCCACTTCGTGTTCTTCGAGTTCGCAGAACTCCATTCCCGGGCCACATTTTGAATGCTGAGGCAGGCTGATGCTGAGGCTGAAGCAGGCTCAGGCTGAGGCAGGCTGAGACTGAGGCCGAGGCTGAAGGCAGACTGAGACTGAGGCTGAAGCAGGCTGAGGCTGAGGCTGAGGCAGGCTGAGGCTGAAGGCTGAGGCTGAGGCAGGCTGAGGCTGAGGCTGAGGCTGAGGCTGAGGCTGAGGCTGAGGCAGGCTGAGGCTGAGGCAGGCTGAGGCTGAGGCCAGGCTGCAGGCAGACTGAGGCTGAGGCTGAAGCAGGCTGAGGCTGAGGCTGAGGCAGGCTGAGGCTGAGGCTGAGGCAGGCTGATGCTGAGGCAGGCTGAGGCTGAGGCTGAGGCTGAGGCAGGCTGAGGCTGAGGCAGGCTGAGGCTGAGGCCGAGGCTGAAGGCAGACTGAGGCTGAGGCTGAAGCAGGCTGAGGCTGAGGCTGAGGCAGGCTGAGGCTGAGGCTGAGGCAGGCTGATGCTGAGGCAGGCTGAGGCTGAGGCCGAGGCTGATGCAGGGTGAGGCTGAGGCAGGCTGAGGCTGAGGCCGAGGCTGGCAGACTGATGCTGAGGCTGAAGCAGGCTGAGGCTGAGGCTGAGGCAGGCTGAGGCTGAGGCTGAGGCTGAGGCTGAGGCTGAGGCTGAGGCAGGCTGAGGCTGAGGCTGTGACTGCGACTGCCGTCGCCACTGCGACTGTCATCGCGAATGCGACTGCGAGAACAGCAGAATTCTACAACTGGATTCTCATCTGAATCTTAAAGGGAATGCTTCCAGATATGCTCCTACACATCGCTGTTAGGTTGCTTTGCCGGGATAATGATTTTTTCAATACGGGTCCCCTGAGGTCTCGACCCATCCTCCAGGACCGGTTTTTCATCCTGAGTCGTTTTTTGACGGTCCCGGGGCCCGGCGAGGGCCCCTTGAGGCCGAAAATTGCAGAAAGCCTCCGTCTTGATTTTTTCAATACGTTGGATCTCTGGGCTCGAGTACAGCAGCAGGGGCCGCATGGGGGGGCAGTTGCGGCGGCGGCGGCCGAAGCCGCCGCATCCACGGCCACGGCGTGCCACGGCCCGCAGCGGGGCACCGTCATGAGTGCGCACAGGAAGAGCACCTCCCCCTGGCGCAGGATGTTGTCGCGCAGCGCTGCCAGGGCGCCGGCCGAGATGTGCGCCTCTGGGGGTCTGCAGGGCGGAGCGCCCGGGGAGAGCGTCGTGGAGGAGAGGGCCGGAGGGGGGGCCATGGGGGCGGAGCTCAGAGGCGGAGGAGGAAGGCCGGAGAGCAGGGGAGAGAAGGCGGGTGGAAGGGGGAGGGAGGGAGGGAGGGCAGGACGGGGGGGAAGGCGAGGGCCAGGCAGAGCCATGACAGGGGCGGGGGACGAAAAGCTGCGGATCCACCGCTGGCATCCCACAGAGCGCGGCCGGACCAGGACGGCCCGCGGCGAAGCCAGCCACGGCGACGAGGGCCTTCCACGAGGGGCAGCGGGGCGCCTGCGCCTCCCCGCGGAGGGGGGGGGGGAGAGAGGGAGGGCGCAACGAGGGCGGGGGGGGCGCGGAGAGCGGCGGCGAGGGCCGGGAGGCCTCCCCCGAGTGGGGGAGCGCGGAAAGGCCAGGGGCGGGCCCTGCAGCGGCAGGCAGCGGGAGCGAGGGCGAGGGAGAGCGGCCGGAGGCGAGAGCCGCCCGCCCGCGGCGAGGGCGAGGGGAGGCGGCCAGAGGCAGGCCCTACAGCGGCCGCGGCGGCGGGGGCCGGGGCGCCCGCCCCGCGCCACGGCCCCGAGGGCGCACGCCTGGTGGCGAGGGCGAACACTCGAGTAAGGGATCGACTACAAAATTAGTGCACCCCTCGCATTCCTTCTCTCGTCGAGTCTACGAGAAAGCAAACCAACAGCACGTGGGATGCTCGTACATCTACGAGCAGTAAGCTGTTTGTTCCGCAGGTTCGACGAACAAATCAAGTATGGGGTGCGTAAATCGATTCTGCAGCCGATCCCCTACTCGAGACCTCGGAGCGGCGGCGTGGGCGGACCCACGCGGGGTCCCAGCCTGCGGCGCGCGCGCGTGATGCTGGCAGGGCCCCCCGCAGGACCGGCCGCGCAGGCCGACCTCGCGGCGCGCGGAGGGCGGGAGGGCCGCAGGACAGCTGCCCGCCCCACAGGCCGCAGCCGGGCCACGCGGCGTGATCTGCAGGGCCCGCCCCGCAGGACGTCGCGGGGTGCCCAGAGGGCCGCGACGCCGGCCCTCGAAGCTCGGCTCGGAGCGCCAGGCTTAGGTCGGGCATGTCTCCCTACAAGCAGATTGAGGACGAAAACTCAAGAATGCCCAAACAATATTCAAAAAGAGCCACATGTTATACACATTTTATACAAATACATATAACCCCCTGATTATGTTTAACTGTTTTTGAATATTCCTCCTGTAGAGGGGCACGCCCGACTCAACGCCAGGCGGCGCAGCCTGGGCATCGCTCCGTCGCCGCGGGCAGGGCGGCGAGCTCCACGGGGGCACCGCCCGCAGGCAGCAGAAAACCTGGGCCGTCGGCCCCCCCCGCGGCCGCGGCGGAGGGAGGGGGCCCGCGCGGGGGGCCCGCGGCAGCGGCGCTGCTCGGAGCCCGAGGGAGCTCCTGGGAAGCCACTACCACGCAGGCCTGATGCAGGGCATCGAACTCTATATACACCGACGCTTCTTCTGGCCCACTGGAAAGCGGATCCTGGTGTATACGGGACCCTGGTGTATACATTCTTCGTTGCTTCCCGGGGGCATCGGGGAAAAAAGTGTACACCACACCACCCCAGCGTCGCCCTCGACCCCCAAGAGATCCTGGGATTGAAAAACAGCCCGCCACTGGTAATGTATAGTTTCCAGTTTCCATCATCATCATCATCATCATCATCATCATCATCATCATCATCATCATCATCATCATCATCATCATCATCATCATCATCATCATCAGCGTCATAAGCAGCAGCAGCATCACCAGCAGCAACAGCAGCAGTATCACCATCAGCAACAGCATCGACATCATCAGCATCATCGGTTCCAGTACCAGTACCAGCACCAGTGCCTATAGCATTGGCATCCTCAGCATCAGCATCATCGTCATCGTCAGCATTCTCGTCATCCTTATCATCATCGTCATCCTCATCCTCATCCTCCTCCTCCTCATCACAATCATCATCATCGTCGTCATCCTCATCATCCTCATCATCCTCCTTCTCATCCTCATCCACATCATCATCATCATCATCATCATCATCATCATCATCATCAGCATCATCATCATCATCATCATCATCAGCAGCAGCAGCATCAGCAGCAGCAGCAGCATCAGCATCAGCATCAGCATCAGCAGCAGCAGCAGCATCATCCCCCTCCTCTCCTCCCTCCCCAGCCTCATCCCCCCAAGCCTCCCTCCTCTCTCCCCATCCCTTGCCCCGGCATTTGGCAGCCCGCATCTGCGCGCGCAGCCGCCAGCCATCGGTCGGACCTCCTGGCGGCCCCCAGCGGGGGCGGGGAGCCACAGATGAATTGGCGCCATCGCTGGACAAGGGCAGCCCCACCGGAAGGCCCGCGAGCATACTCTCTCGCGGCCGCCGGGGAAACCGGGCCGGCCTCGGAGGGAGGCGGGCTGACGGGACCGGCCTATGGCGAGGGGAAGGCAAAGGGGGGAGGACAGGAGTCCAGAACTCGGGCGGATGGCACCATCTGCTCAGCCCCCGCGTCTCGCCATCCACAGTCGACGTCCCTGGGCGGATCCGCGGGCCCCCCGACGAGCCAGGGAGCGACCCAGAGTCACAAAGCCAGTCCTGGGGAAGGGGTCGATATAGAGGCAGAGAAACAACTGTAAGCAGAACCTTTCGGAGCTCCGCGCGGACTTCTTGGATTGGCGCTGGACACCCCTCCCAGGCGCGCGGAGCACGCCAGAGCTCTGAAAGTTTCTCCTTACGCAGTTGCTTCGTCGACCCCCAAGGTTGGGGTGCCGAGGCCGCCCTGGGCTACGGCAGGTTCATGTCGTGACGACTCTCCGGCGTTGACTTCTGAAACCGCATGGCTGGCTCCACCTTGAACGATCGGCGAAGTTTCGATTGGCGGATCGTTCCAGATGTGCCGAGTCTAGGCCACCTGCGGCGTTCAACCTTGAACGCCTGCGCTGGGTTTGTCGCCGCGTCGATGCGACACGAACCTGCCGGACCCCTGGGGAGGGCGGGCGCGGGCCAGCCCGGACTGCCTCCAGTGGGGGGCTGCCTGAGCGCAGCCCCGAGCCTGCCACGGGAAGAGATGGGCCAACATCGACCCAGAAGCGGCGAGGCATCAGCGAATAGCGAGACAGGCTGCTGTTGGCACGCCGAGCCAAACGGTGGTGCACGCAAGGCCCTGTTGTCGATAGATGGGCGACTCGGGTCGACGCCCCCCCCCACCACCACCAAAGTCTGTCCCCCACCCTTTCTTTCCCCCCTGCTATCAGGTCGACGCACTTGACGTACTTGTTGATTGCCTCCTCTCGGGTCATCGCCTTGCAAGCATTCCACGCGTCCCACTTGGCGCGGTCCCGAGGAGCGATGAGGCTGGGCCGCACACCCTTGACGTCGCCCTCCGTGGCCTGCATGTAGTAGCCGTAGAGCAGGAACTTGACGTCTAAAGGCGTCGAGTCCTTCAGCTTCCTCACCGCCTCGCGCTGGGCCTCCTCGAAGCGGTCGCCGTCGCTCTTGGCCGCCTGCACCGGTGCGGCGGTCTGCGCGTTGGCAGCCGCCTCCGCAATGGCAGCATGCTGGGCGGCCAATTGGCTCGCTCTCTTGTCCTGCATCCTCTGATTGTGGGGAGCACCAAGGGCACGCCAGCCCAGCCTTTTCCTCCTCCTCCTCCTCCTCCTCCTCCTCTCCTCCTCCTCCTCCTCCTCCTCCTCCTCCTCCTCCTCCCCCTCCTCCTCCTCCTCCTCATCCACCTCTTCCTCCTCCTTGCAACCTCCTCCTCCTCCTCCTCCTCTTCCTCCTCCTCCTCCTCCTCCTCCTCCTCCCTTGGGCACCACCTCAGAAGCAGGGGTGATTCTAAGAAGTTTCCTCCCCCCCTTTCCGCCCTCTGCGCATGGCTGACCGACCCTTTCCTCCTCCAGCCCGCTCCCCCTGCTCCCTCCTCTCTCCCCCAATGATCACCTGGTGGATTGGGCTCGACCCACCCGCCGCCACCGTGGGTCCAGCCTCCCCTAAAAGCCTTGATTTCACGCTCCCAGCGGAGTGCGAACCCACTGGGTCGCCTTCTGGGCCTGGCCCTGTGTACGGCGAGGGCGTTGGATAAGGAGTCCAGGGTCTGGAACCCAGTGGAACTCCGATCGTTGATCGGCCGTGGATATCACCGACGCCCTCACCAGATCAGGAATCCTCCAGTGTCTGGAGCCTCCTGGGCACACTCCTCAACGAACGCCCCCACCGCATCACCCTTACTCTGAGCGGGGTGGGGTGGATGTACGCCCTGTGCTCCCAAGATTGTGCCGCGAGGCGACAATGGCGCAGATGCCACAGAGGAGGAGCATCGCGCCGAGCACCGCAGCCCATGCCAATGGCCACTCCACCTGCTCCAGCGCCTCGGCCACGAGCAAGGAGCGCGAGTCCACGGAGTCCGTGCAAGGCCCTCTCGACTTGATGCAGGTCGAGCCAGTCGACATGCAATCCACCTGCTCCATCAGCTCCCGGTGGCACTGCTGAGCAGGGGACACGAAGCACCACCTGGTATCGTTGCCGCTGTTCCTGTACCAGTCGTTGCAGTAGTTGCCCATGGTGAGCTTCCACGGCCCAGGCCCTTCTACCGCAGGAGCCAGCGTCGTGGAGCCCGAGCCGTTCGAAGAGTCGGCGGGCTCCGCGGTGTCCGCCGTCGTGGGGCCTGTGTCGTTCGAAGAGGTGGCGGGCTCCGCAGTGTCCGGCGTCGTGGAGCCCGAGTCGCCGGACGCCTCGGAACTCTCGTCGGCGGGATCCGTCGTGTCCGGGCCCTGGCTGCTCGAGGCATTCTTCGAGCCGGGGGTCTGGCTGGGCGCCGTGGCGGGAGCCGGGCCGGGCGGGCCAGGAGTCGGAGTGGGCGTCGGGCCGGGAGTCGGGGTCGGGGCGGGGCCGCCAGTCGCGCCAGCAGTCGGGCCGGGGGTCGGGCTGGCAGCCGGCGCGGGCGTCGGGCCCGTGCCGCCGGAGGGCTGCCCCTGCAGCAGCCGCAGGCTCGTGTGGTTCGGGTCCGCCCAGTCCTTCGGTGGCAACTCATGGGAGCCTGCCACAAGATCTTGTCGGCACCTGCGAATCGACACAAGTCGACGCTAAATCGACGCTAGTCGACGCTAGATCGACGCTAATCGACGCTAACCGACGCTAAATCGGCACTATCCCAGGGACGCCCAGACGCTAATCGACGCTGGTCGACGCTAACGACGTCATTAATAAACGAGGAAGAAACGCCATGAACAGAAACTGTTGGCGCTCCGCACGGATTTCTTGCGTCCGCGCGGAGCGCGCCAGGGGCGGCGCTGGAGGCGCCGCCGGGGTGGGCTCGGCGCGGATCCCAGAAATCCGCGCGGAGCGCCAAAAGTTTATGTCTTCGGCGTTTTCTCTTCTTCGCATCAAGAGGTTTAACCAATCTCCCATGACTTGCTTTGAGCAGGGACCGACCGTCCGGGCATTCCTATAGGCCTACCACGAAATGTTCTTAGAACCCAGGAATGTTCCAATAACAAAAACAATGTTCTTAGAACGTACACCCGATGTGATAAACAAGACAGTCCCAACCAGAAATGTTCTAAGAAAATTTCGTGGAAACCGCAAAAGGTTCTTCGAACATTGCTTGGTAGGCCTGTAGGCACGCCGGGACGCTTCGCCACTGCTTGAAATTAAGAGGGTGCACCAGGCTCCCACGACTTGCTGCCGAACGGTCCCACATCTGCCGGCACACGCACGCGGTCTCGGGCTCGAAAGTCGGCGGCGGGCGGCACAGCTCGGAGACCTTCCTGCACAGCTCGCTGCTGCGGGCGCCCGTGACGCCGTCCACGAGCTGCGGGGCGTGGTCCCACTGGTCCTGCCAGCCCTCCGCTGCCTGGCCCACCTGCAGGGCTAGGTCGGGCCATGTCCCACATACAGGCGAATTTTGGACGAGACACAAAAAATGAACACTATTCAAAAAATAACCAAAAAATAATCATAAAATCGTCCCCGGACTATTTTGTTGACTATTTTTGAACACTCCTCCTGTGGAGGGACACGCCCGACTTAACTATAGGGGGAAGCCAGAGGGCACCGACATACCGACGTCGCCCCGGACCTCTCTCCTGGGCCGCGCTCGGACCAGATGGAGCCAGCGGTGGCGACGAGAGCCTCCCAGCAGGTCCAACAAGGCGCCGACGAGGAAGGGTAGCGGTACGGGTGCAAGGCGGGGATGTGCGCAGATCCCTCGCCCGTGGGACCAACGGCCTGGGACCGCCGCGGGCGGTGGATACGGATATACTTGGGCCCTACAGGGGGGCACGAACACAGCCATATCCGACGCGCGGCGAGGTCCCCGAAGATCAATGCCCCAGGCGGTGGTTATGGATACATCTCCGCCTCGGAATGGGTATGTTTTCCCCCTCCCCAGAGTTCCGATGTCGTAATTTGTTCAGTACAGGGTCCCCGGAAGCCCCGACCCGTTCCCCGGGGCCACCTTCCCATCCTGAGTCTCGTTAGGACGGTCCCAAGGCACCGCGAGGGTCTCCAGAGGCTGAAAAGGCAGAAAAACCTCCAAACCTCCGTCGTGAGTTCTTCAATACTGAAGGGGCCCAGGGGCACACAAATAAATACACACAAATCCCAGAATTATCAATTTTGTTTGATATTTTCTGGGTTTCTGTCTTCCCCCCCCTTCCCATAGTTTCGCATATTTTCTTTGGAATTGACTATTAATTGTGTCTGTGTGTTTCCCTCCTGGAATACCTCGGCTGCACGCAAGAGTGACCTTGGGCAAGAGACCCTTAGTGCGCGCACTAAGGGGGCACAGGGTGGCCAAATCCAAGCGCAAGCAAGCAACCACTATCGCATCGCGCTCAGAGGTCGGGGGGAACCCTGTGAGCCCGCACCAAAGGTCAATCCGGCGAAGTGTCACTCTTGCGTGCAGTCGAATACCTTACCCCCTGAGGAGGACGGAAAAGGTGCAGCCACTCGATCGTTGAAGTAGGACGGCGCTGGAAGTCGATTGGACTCTGGGCACCCAGGAATACATCTTTTCAACGACCGATGAGTACGTGAAGTCGACTACCTTGGACTTCTGCCGGCGGCGACGATAGGGGCGAATAGCCCAGGGGCGGGCAGTACACGTATTCGCCCAGGAGCATTTCCGAAGACATAGATCATCGGCGCACCTGAATGCATGTATTGCTCTCCCCTGGACTATTCGCCCCCATCGTCGCCTCTGACTCCGGGCCCGACCACCGTGAGCCGCCTTGCGCCACTCCCGGCAGCACCGCGCGGACCGCCGCCTCGGGCGCGTGGCACCGGGGGGTGTCCCTGCATGGGCCCCCCTCGTAGGGCCCCTCTTGGGACCCTGCTGGCTCCAGACGAGGCCCCAGAGGGCCCTTATGGATCCCTTTCCTTCACCTCCCATGTGGGTCGAACCCCCATTGCCCTGAGATCAGACGCCGCAAAAAAAAGCTGCACCATCGCAAAAAATCACGCCCCGAGCCCCAGACCCCATCTCTCTGCACCACTTTTCCGAGCCGGATCGATCTGCGAGGGCCCCGGGACCCGACCTTGAGCGACAACGCCCCTTGTGAAAAAGCTGCAGCGCCAGGACCTCAGGGCACCACCGCCCCACCGCCGCCGCCGGCCGCTCTGCGCAGCCCGGCAACGAAGTCCTCCGCCGCCGCCCTCGGGTCGCGGGGCCGCCGGCGGGGCCGCTGGGCCCCTGCAGGGAGCAGCCTCCGGAGCCGCGCCGCCCAGCCCTCGCCGGCGGCCCCGCGGGCCTCGGCCCCGCGGCCCTGCAGGCGCCTCTCCGGCGCCTCCTCTCGGCGGCGCGCCTCCTCCTCCTCCATCTCCTCCTCCTCCTCCTCCTCCTCCTCCTCCTCCTCCTCCTCATCATCATCATCATCAGCATCATTATCACCATCATCATCATCATCATCATCATCATCATCATCATCATCATCATCATCATCATCATCATCATCATCATCATCATCATCATCATCATCATCATCATCATCATGATCATCATCATGATCATCATCATCATCATCAGCATCATCATCCTTCCCTTTTCCTTATGAATAACTTCTTCTCCCTGTCGCACCCCGAGGACAGTTTTTAGGGCGGGCCGGGCGTTTCGCCGGAGACTCCTTCACCATCTATGACCCTGAAAGCTCGAAAATTTACATCAGTTTCACAAATGGAGGGCGGGTCGTTTTCAAAATGTGGCTCTCGCCTAAGCGCTGCGTAAATCGTTCTCAGGAGTTGCAAGAGTTTCACGGACTGAGGGCGACCCCCTTTCAAAATGTGTTTCTCGCCTTAGCGCCGCGCACATTCGTTTTAAAAATCTGCAGAAGGGATTCACGGACTGAGGGCGGCTCCTTCTCAAAATGTGGTTCTCGCCTGAGCGCCGCGCACATTCGTTGTAAACATTTGCAAGAGTTTTACGGGTTCCCGTGATCAGCGTACCACAAATAGTGTTCATGAGGGTGCAACAACTACATTGGTTCGCGATGCTGAAATCCCAGGAATGGCGTCCTGGCACGATTCAGGATCGTCAAGACGCAACAGTCAGGTTGATCCGTGGCGTTGGAATCCCGAGAACGATGTTTTGGGATGCATCAGGGTCTTCAAACGGTTGTCCTCCAACGAAGCAGTTCCCTCAGTGGAAATGAACCCTTGTAGGGGCCTATGAAGAGGGAGCTTGGAGGGAGGGTTTATTCCAACATCGTTGATGACTCTTGGGTTTACGCTGGTCTTCCTCCTCGTCCTCCTCCCCCTCCTCCTCCTCCTCCTCCGGAAGCGAGAAGGCGCGGGCCTCCTCGGAAGTCTGGGAGGTCCCCCGGCCTTCCGAGAAGTTTTCTATAGACCTTCCCGTTCAGGCACAGAGCGAACTTCTCAGAAGGAGAGAAGGGCTTCTGAGAAGTTCCGCGGCCTTCTGGGAAGGCCTTGTCCTTCTCACTACCCCCCCGTCGCTCGTCGCCGATCCTCCGCGTCGTCCAGGATCTCGGGGCTGCCCGCCTTGCACTTCCAGATGTGTCGGGTCGGGCGAGAAGCGGGACCCCAGACCCCTTCGAGGCGGGAGGTTCTGTACTTTCTGTTCTGCCTCCGGGGGGCCCTTCCAGCGCCTCGGGACCGTAAAAAAACGTCTCAGGATGAGAAGCCGGTCCTGGGGAGTGGGTCGATACCTCTGGGGGTCAACGGTATGAAAAAACACTGGACGTCGGGGGTCTGAGCAGGGGGAGGTAGTAAAACGGGGGGCTGAGCAAATCAATTCACGTTGCTGGTTTCCCCGTCGCCTCCTGGCGCAAGAGGCGCCAACGTATCGAGGAACGCGCCCGCTGGCGGGGCCGAAACCAGCTGCATGCAGCAAATTTCCTACCACCGCCTTCCCACATCCTGCTTTTCCTCCGACCCCAATGTGAACGTTTTGGCAGACCAGGTTGGACACGCGCACCACGTCTGGCCTGGCGTTGCTGATGTACGCCTTGGCCCAGGGGGCCACGCAGAGGAGGATTACGCCGAGCACGATCGTCGACACCGTGAGCGTCCTCATCAGGGTCGTGGACCCCTTCCAGCCCACCCAGAAGGCGATCAGCACACACAGGAGGGAGGCCACCGCCAGCACAGGGAGAAGGTACATGGTGGGCGAGACGCTGGTCCACCAGGCGGAGTAGCTCAGTGACGAAAACATCAAGAACCGCTCATCGTTGAGGATCATCAGCGAGCAGATGAGAAGCCCCAGCGCCGTGATAAGCACAAGGAACCCCCCCGACCACAGAAGTATCCGCGACAAGTGCTCCTCCAGGTCCAGGCCGCGAGGCCTCGGCTTGCGCTGCAGAAGGAGAGCCTGGTCCGCTAATGCTGAATCATCTGTCTGGACGGACTGGGTAGACGTGAAGCTGTCTCGCATGGTGTCCCGCATGCTGTCTCGCATCCGCGTGTCCGCCTCCTGGTGCATCCGCATCTGCGTCCCCAGCGGCTGCGGGAAGGTCTTCTCGTAATAGTCCTCCAGATGGTGGCGCGACGCGTAGGTAAACGAAGACTTGGCGCCGGGCACGGGACCCCCGGGCTGCCCCCCGTAGAACGACTGCGCCCCCGGCTGCACCCCCGGCTGCATCCCTGGGATCATCGTCTGCGCCGACTGCATCTCCGGCTGCATCCCTGGCTGCATCCCCAGCTGCACCGGGCTGTAGCCCATGGGGTAGCCGTGCGAGCCGAGCGCCCCCGGCGAGTAGCTCTGCATCGGGCCGTGCCGCGGGCGCTCCCCGCCTCCGCGGGGCCCGGGGCGGGCGGAAGCCGGCAGGGGGCCCGCATGGCGGCTCGGGCCGGGCGTGCTGCGGAGGAGGAGGAGGAGGAGGGAGAGAAGGAGGAGGAGGAGGAGGAGGAGGAGGAGGAGGAGGAGGAGGGGAGGGGGGGGAGGGGGAGGAGGAGGGGGGGGAGGAGGAGGGGGAGGAGGAGGGAGGGGGAGGAGGGGGAGGAGGAGGAGGAGGAGGTAGCAGGAGCAGCGCCTCGAAGCCTCCGCCGGGCAGCGCTGCGATGTCGGCAGGGCTCCGGCCTGGTCCTGCGAGGAGCGTTTTGGCCAGCGCTCGGCACAAGGACCTTCCACGGACGCCCGGGCCGACGTCTGCCCAGGGCCCCATATATGCGGCTGCGGAGGGCCAGGGCCAACGGAGAGGGAGAGTCGTAGAGGTGCTCCCGGCATGGGCCTTCAGGGCCGCGGTCTGGGGGGGCGAAAAGCGAGGGGCGGCAAGGGTAAGGGTAACGAGTCAGCTGCATGCAGCTGGCTCGGGGAGCCGCACCTACATGTTTGTACCTATACGTACACACCCAACAGCAACAACAACAACAACAACAACAACAACAACAACAACAACAACAACAACAACATCAACAACAACAACAACAACAACAACTGCAACAACAACAACAACAACAACAACACCAACAACAATAATAACAACAACAACAACAACAACAACAACAACAACAACAACAACGACAACGACGACGACGACGACGACGACGACAACAACAACAACAACAACTGCAACAACAACAACAACAACAACAACGACAACAACGACAACAATAACAACCACAACCACAGCCACAACCACAACCACAATCACAACCGCAACCACAACCACAACCACAACCACAACCACAACAGCAACAATCATTTTAAGACTGTTCGCTCTTCTCTGCTCGAGTGTCCGTCAACTTGTAATTTCCCAAGCCCTCGATACCCGCTCTCTTCGTCTTCGATCGTGCCGCTTTGGGAGGGTCTACATTTCTTCCCTGCAGGCCGGGCCCCTGCAAGAGGCGGGGCGGCCGCGGACCGTCGGCCTGGCCAGCGGCAGGCGACAACGCTGATCGGCGGCAACCCGACCCCAAGAGGGACGGACAGGGGACCGACCACGACGACGACGACGACGACGACGACGACGACGACGACGACGACGACGGCGACGACAACGACAACGACGACGACGACGACGAGCGAAAGCGAGTGAGAGCGAGAACGAGAGCGACAGCGGGGCCACGAAGGGCAGGAAGGGGGCCACGAAGGGCAGCAACGGGGCCACAAAGGGCATGCGCATGGGGCCACGAGGGGCGCGAGCCAGCGGGGGTCACGAAGGGCACACATGCATGGGGCCACGAAGGGCAGCGAGGGGGCGACGAAGGGCCGCAACGGGGCCACGAAGGGCCGCAACGGGGACACGAAGGGGTGCAACGGCAGCACGAAGGACAGCGAGGGGGCCACGAAGGGCTGCAACGGGGGCACGAAGGGCAGCGAGGGGGCCACGAAGGTCTGCAACGGGGCCACGAAGGGCAGCGAGAGGGCCACGAAGGGCTGCAACGGGGCCACGAAGGGCAGCGAGGGGGGCACGAAGGACTGCAACGGAGCCACGAAGGGCAGCGAGGGGGCCACGAAGGGCTGCAACGGGGCACGAAGGGCAGCGAGAGGGCCACGAAGGGCTGCAACGGGTCCACGAAGGGCAGCGAGGATGCCACGAAGGGCTGCAACGAGATCCCGATGCCTAAGTAATCTGTGAGCGAGTCCTAAGTGTGGGCCACGAAGGTCTGCAACGGGGCCACGAAGGTCAGCGATAGGGCCACGAAGGGCTGCAACGGGGCCACGAAGGGCAGCGAGGGGGCCACGAAGGTCTGCAACGGAGCCACGAAGGGCAGCGAGGGGGCCACGAAGGGCTGCAACGGGGCCACGAAGGGCAGCGAGGGGGCCACGAAGGGCTGCAACGCGTCCACGAAGGGCAGCGAGGATGCCACGAAGGGCTGCAACGAGATCCCGATGCCTGAGTAATCTGTGAGGGAGTCCTGAGCGTGAGCGCGACTCCTGGGTGCCTGAGTGTTGGGAGCGCGGCGCTTGAGTAAATTGCTGGGCGCCGGAGGCACCGCCAGGGGGGTCCAGCGCGCACCCGAGAAATCCGCGCGGACCTCCTAGGTTTCATGTTTGTCATTCTTCGCTCCCCTAGCCTTGGAGGCCTGGAAATGTGCACCAACACTAGCACAGGCGGTTGCCTCCACAGGGGGAAGACGATCCTACATGTCAGCGCTGGCGGTAGTACGTCGGCCACCTCGGGAGCCAGAATATGCTCACCATCGCCGAGGTCGGGAGCCTCCTCCCTCGGTGGAGGTACGCCCCGCGATGTTGGTGTTGGTGTCAACCTCTGCGTGGGCCTGCGACCTCCCCCGATCCCCGACGTCCTGATCGCCTCCCGGCGCGGACCCCCGGAGGCCTCTCGACCCATTCCCTCTGGGACCGGCTTGGCATCCCGAGCCGCTTGTGGACCGCCCTGGGGCCTGCCGAGGGTCCCTGGCTCGGCGGCGGGCGAGGGGGGGATCTGTTTTACTCGACGAAGGGGCCTGTGTGCTGGGAGGAGAACAGTTGCACAGTGCAGCAAGACCGTCGCAGGATCCCATCAGGTCCAGAGTCTCTCTCGGCGGCGCGTCTGGGGCACGCTCGACGACGCTGCTCGGGACGGCAGCCCGTGGCCGAAGGAAGCCCTCGCGCCTTCTGAGAGATGCCTGGTGTCTTCTGGGAAGGCTTAGAAGACTTCTCAGAAGGCCGGGGAAACTTCGGAACCTTCTGAGGCGGCCTGTTCCTTCTCACTTCCCCCCCTCGCTCCCCGCCGATCATGACGTGGGCCCCCGGACGTCTCGACCCATTCCCCAGGACCAGCTTGTCATCCCGAGCAGCTGTTGACTGTCCTGGGGCCTGCTCGAGGGCCTCCGGAGACCGAGAGCGGCTGAGAGCCGCCCGTCGTGATTTGTCTACGACGCGCGCGAAGGGGTCTGGATCTCGCGCCACCCCGCCCGTGCACGCCCGGCGAGGGCGTGAGCTGGGGGCCGTCCGCGCGCGCCCGCGCCTGCGACGGGCAGGTCAGGGCGGCGACGGGTCGCCGCTCTTTTGCGAGGCGGGGGATGTATATCCAGATCCGCCGCCCGTGGAACCGACGTCCTGGGACCCCCGCGGGCGGTGGACATGGACACGCTTGGGCCCCAGGGGGCCAAGCTGCACCCACACCCGCCGCCGGTGGAACCGACGTCCTGGGACCCCCGCGGGCGATGGACATGGACACGCTTGGGCTCCAGTGGGCCGAACTGTGTCCAGATCCACCGCCTGTGGAACCGAGGTCCTGGGACCCCCGCGGGCGGTGGACATGAACAGGACAGCTCCTCCTCCTCCTCCTCCTCCTCCTCCTCCTCCTCCTCCTCCTCCTCCTCCTCCTCCTCCTCCTCTTCCTCCTCTCCTCCTCCTCCTCCTTCCTCCTCCTCCTCCTCCCTCCTCCCCCCCCCTCCTCCTCCTCCTCCTCTCCTCCTCCTCCTCCTCCTCCTCCTCCTCCTCCTCCTTCCTCCTCCTCCTCCTCCTCCGCCGCCGTCCGCCTCCGCCTCCCGCCTCCGCCCTCCGCCTCCGCCTCGCCTCCGCCTCCGCCTCCGCCTCGCTCCTCCCGCCTCCTCCTCCCTCCTCCCCTCCTCCTCCTCCTCCTCCTCCTCCTCCTCCTCCTCCTCCTCCTCCTCCTCCTCCTCCTCCTCCTCCTCCTCCTCGGCGGCGGTTCTGTACAACTCCCCGCCTCGAACTCTTGGGCCGGACGCGCGGGCGAAAAGGGGCGAAGGGTAGGCTGCCACGTGCAGCCGCCCGCTCGCCTGCGGCCGCACGGCCCGTCGGCAGAAGCCGCAACTCGGCGGGGGGACCTGTGCCGCCCCACCGGCAAGAAATTGCCGCCACAGAAGGAGAGCGGCGAGCCCGGGGGGGGAAGCGCCCTGACCTTCCAGTAGTGTTAGGTCGGCCATGTCCCCCTACAGGCGGATTCTGGAGGAACATGATCAATAATTGACCTAATAAAGAATCAAAAAGCCGTTTCCAAACCATTTGTTTACCTGTTTGAATATTCTTCCTGTAGAGGGACAAGCCCGAATTAACAGTGGCGCTTAAAACCTGACCGGGCAAGAACGGGAAGCGCCGCCGTCTTGTATCGTCTGGGGGCCCTCATGGGCAGTCTTAGGCCCGCTTCGAGATCTCTTGAGGGCCTCTGGGCACCCTTTGGGGGCCTCTTGGAGGTGTCTTGGGGCGTTTCGGGGGTCCTCTGGGGGGCCTTTGGGGGCTGCCATTTTGAAGCCCTCCGGAAGCGAGTCCAAGACGATGTTGGTTTGGAGACCCCTCCGTCAGTACTTGAAGATCCGCCGCCGTGACTCTGGGCACGGCGTGGGCGCGTCCTCGGGTCCCCTGCCTCATCCCTGGAGCCTCACAGGTATCCTCAGATTGAAGATACCAGCGTGCAGGACACTTCTGTCCGCAAGTCTTCCAACGGGCGTGGCACTGCTTGCTTGACGACACCTTGCCCCTGCTATTGAACACGCGTGAAGCATATCGAGCTTGACTCTCGAGGACTCCTCTAAAAAATGGGCCCGGAGCCCAGCTTCCAGAATCTCGCTGGACTTGTCGCGTGCCCCCCCGGGGACTTCCCGCGTGCTCCCGGGGACTTCCCGCGCCCCCCCCCCCCCTGGACTCAGGGAAGCGGTGGCGCGTGCATTCGTCTCGGGCCCAGGAGGGCCCCAAGACGGGCCGAGAGGGCCCCAAGAGGCGCCGAAGACGGCCCAGAGAGGGTCCCGAGGCGCCGAAAGGTCGCCCCCAAAGGCCCAGGATGGCCCCAGACGGCCCAAGAGGCCTCCAAGACGCCCCAGGGGGCCCTCCAAGAGGCCGCCTAAGAGGGACCCAAGAAG